TTGTTATTTGACTTAGTCTTTTACCACGTTTAGGATTGGTTACAACGTGGGTTGCTTTCAGTTTATCTTGTTCTGTAAGGCTATATATTAGCCAAGGGTTCTATTCAATAAACATGTTTTACCTCCCATTATCAAATAATTTCTTAATACAGTAACAAGTGATATCAGAGCCCACCCAGGGCTTGATCATAATGATTGAAGCAGTAGCTTGAATTCTTGTAGTAGCAAGTAGACATGATGACATAGAGCAACTTTGTTCAACCCAGCAATTCCTAAGTTTGATGGTCATTACGACCACTGGAGCATGCTGATGGAAAACTTTCTGAGATCAAAGGAATATTGGCATTTAGTGGAGCATGGAGTTTCAGCGCTTGCAGAGGGAGCATCACCTGAGCAGACTAAAGAGGTGGAGGATCAGAGACTCAAGGATCTAAAGACCAAGAATTATCTATTTCAAGCTATTTTCCGGTCTATTCTTGAAACTATTCTGAAGAAGGATACTGCCAAGAACATATGGGACTCATTGAAGCAGAAGTATCAAGGAACAACAAAGGTGAAGATAGCACAACTTCAAGCCCTTCGGAAGGAGTTCGAGATGTTGCATATGAAGGGAGGAGAATTTGTAAATGAGTATTTTGCTAGAACTCTCACAGTGGTCAATAAGATGCGTATGCATGGAGGAACGATGGATGATGTGGCTGTTATAGAAAAGATTCTTCGTTCACTAACTGCCAAGTATGACTATGTTGTTTGTTTCATAGAGGAATCAAATGACATAGATAGTCTCTCGATTGATGCACTTCAAAGTAGCTTGTTGGTTCATGAACAACGTATGAATTTTCATGTGATAGAGGAACAAGCCCTACAGATTGTTCATGAGGGAACCTCAGGAGGAAGAGGAAGGGGACGGGGAAGAGGTAGGGGCAGATCTAGTGATTTTGACAAATCAACAGTTGAATGCTATTATTGCCATGAATTGGGACATTTTCAATATGAAGCCCTCCGAAGGAGTTTAAGTCGAATTTCACAGAAGCTGAAGAAGAAATGTTGTTGATGGCTTACATGGAGTTCAAGGAATCTAAGCACCATGACACTTGGTACTTGGATTCAGGGTGCAGTAACCACATGTGTAGAAACAGAGCCTTGTTTTCTTAAATTGATTCGAGTTCCAGAGAACAAGTCAAACTGGGAAATGACACAAGTCTTGCCATGAAAGGGAAGGGCAATATCAGAATTCGAATGAATGACAGTATGCAAACCATCACTGGAATTTTCTATGTGCCTGGGCTGAAGAGCAATCTTATAAGCATTGGTCAATTACAAGAGAAAGGGCTCACTATACTCATTCAAAAAAACAAGTGTAAGATCTTTCATCCAACAAAAGGTCTCATTGTTCAAGCACAAATGTCATCAAACAGAATGTTCTCTTCACACACAAAGTCAAACTCAAGACCAAACTTGTCTTGCTTCCACCACACAAGACACTGCATGGTTGTGGCACAACAGGTACAGACACTTGAGTTTTAGAGGACTTAAAACGTTGCAGCAAAAGAAAATGGTGAGAGGACTTCCTCAGCTCGAGTCTCCAATAAGGATGTGTGAGGATTGCTTGATAGGAAAACAACATAAGGATGAGTTTCCGAAGAAAAGCACATGGAGAGCAACACAAGCATTGGAGCTGGTTCATTCAGATATTTATGGACCCATTAATCCTACTTCAAATAGTAACAAAATGTATTTGCTTACTTTTATTGATGATTTTAGTAGGAAAGCATGGGTTTATTTTTTGAAGGAGAAATCAAAAGCCTTTGATATGTTTGTAAGATTTAAGAACATTGTTGAGAAGGAAATTGGATTAAACATAAAGTGTCTACGTACTGATCGTGGTGGTTAATTTACTTCAAATGAATTTACTAACTTTTGTGAGATGAATGGTATTCGTAGACAACTTACTGTTGCCTACACCCCACAACAAAACGGGGTTGCTGAGAGGAAAAATCGTAACATTATGAATATGGTTCAATGCATGCTTGTTGAGAAGAAAGTTCCAAAAACCTTTTGGCCGGAGGCAGTAAATTGTAGTGTACATGTTCTGAATCGTAGTCCAACATTCATAGTGAAGAAGTCAACACCAGAAGAGGCATGGAGTGGTCACAAACCATCTGTTGAGCATTTTCGTGTTTTTGGATGCTTAGCATATGTCCAAGTACCTGATCACAAGAGAAGTAAGCTCGAAGACAAGAGCATGGAGTGTGTGCTGCTCGGAGTAAGTGAGGAGTCTAAAGCATATAGGCTTTATGATCCGGTCACTCAAAAGATTTTAATTAGCCGTGATGTGAGATGTGATGAAGGGCAAGGCTAGGAATGGAGTGAAAGCAGCAACCAAAAGACCATTCATGTTGATTTAGAGAGCAATGAAGGAAAGGCAAGCATAGAAATGGGTTCTAGCAATGATACAGAAGATGGAGGAATTGATGGAGAAGAGTTAAGTGATACAGAAGAAAAAGTTATAGCCTCTCCACCAAGAACTGGTGACGCTGGAACAAAAAGACAGCCAGCTTGGATGCAAGATTATGTTAGTGGTGAAAAGTTTTCGGAAGAAGAAAACACAGCACATTTTGCTATATATGTAGACAGTGATCCAGTAGGATTTGACGATGCGATAAAAGAAGAAAAAAATGGAGAAAACCCATGGATTTAGAAATAGAAGCTATTGAGAAAAACAACACTTGGGAACTCACCGATTTGCCTGCAAGGGAAAAATCCATTGGAGTAGAATGGATGTTCAAAACTAAGCTCAAGGAAAATGAGAAAATTGACAAGTACTGACAAGACCAGCCCCGAATTCCTTGAAATTCCGTGACAAACCCTGTGGTTTTCGGACATCAAACCGATGCCGGACCCACTTACTAACAACATCCTCTTCTCCGAAAACAAAGGAAAAGAGGCTCGAGACTTTCTACCGAAATTTCGGCCAAGTCTCCCCTGAAAAACTGACTTTACCAAATTTTTCAACCTGTTAAAAACAAGAGAAAAAGAATACCAACTGCCAACGAACACAAAGCAACAGCACACAGATTTCAAAATAGGCCTCTGGCCTTAACTTCAACCTTACACGGGCAATGTCAGAGCAGTCACAGAATCTCTAGTTAAATAGCCAAAGTAAAAGTTTCAAGAAATGTACAAGTGTCCTACAATTAAGCTGAGGCACAAGAGGAGGAAGGCTCAGCCTGACTGCTCAGTTCGCGTCAACTACAGCCTGAGGGCGCAAAATAGAAAAAAAAATCGTACATATGTTTGCCAAAGCTTTAAGCATTTCAAGTTTTGATGTAGATGTACACTCAATGGTACAAAACCTTTACATCCATAGCTTGAATGTAAAACCTCATCAGTCAGACATGTCAAGATAATGGGAGACTAACAGTTTATATGAACTGGTTTAGCTGACGTTTTATGTATCATGCAGAAAGCTATCAAAACAAAAGTCAAAAGAATAACAATTTCAATCTAGAAATTAATCAGCAAAATGAACGCTCACGTGAGAACAATCTCCAACCTGAATTTTGGAACAATCATTCCAACACAATTAAGTGGCCATACACAGAGTTTTAGTCCTTTCGGACAGAGAGTATAGAAGGCAATTGGCCAAAGCAAAATTATGACGAGCTCTCAGTTATTGTGACAGAGAGTGTAAGAATACACTTCAATTAACTCCTTAGGGGCCTCTAGTGTAAAATATATATCTATAGCCGTAGTGTACCAAAATAAAGGATAGTTCGGAAATTAAAGCTTCAAGTTGGCATATGTTACCAAGAGAGCAACGACCAATTGTTTTCACCACGACCACCATCTCCGGCACCACCGTCACCTCTGCCACCATAATTTCCATCACCAGAACCGCCATATCCACCAGTTCCACCCGACCCACCATCCGAAACGACGTAGAGACGAAAACGGTCAAAACCCAGTTGCCTAAAACCTATTTCAGAACGACCCAAGTCCTTAAACACGACTCCATTGCCAGAATTCAGGCAATATGAATGAGAATGCGGAGCATGTGAGTGGCAATGGCTCAAAGAAGAGCTTCTAAAGCCCCTTATCTGAACAGGGTTTGCTGCAATCCTAGACTGAGGACCAGAATGCAAAGAGGGTCTACGAGAATAACCCACGAAACGGTTTAGGAGAGGGGTTTTACGAGCGAGTGATACAGGGTTTGGAGCCATTTGTTGTTTGCTTTGAGTTGAAGGGTTTGAGACTTGGAAGTGTGACGTTTTGGGTTGACACAGTTTTTAGCTGCACGCGACTTCTCACCGTGTTTTTTTCGAATTTCAAATTTAGGATATATTTGTGAGTGCTTTTGGAAAGGTCAAAAGTGTTTTCTGACAACTAAAAACGATTCTGACAGTGTTTGACAGAAAAGTTTAGAAGCGTTTCTGGGTCATAAAAGTGTTTTATAGATAAGCACATAGCATGTGCTTCTTCAAGAAGCACTTCCAAGTGCTTTTCCAGAAAGCACTTTGATTTTTTATGAAAATTCAAGATATTTATAATAAAAGCGCTTTTGTTAGAAACGCTTATGAGCAAAAGTACTTCCTAGAGAAGCAGCCCCAAACGAGCCCTTAGAAGGGTGAAGTTCAATGACACCCTCAGCTTCTCTCCATTTCACATAAATCCATCACAACTTGCATATTTTTACAAGGCAGAAATTCATTTTTAGTCCTGTAGTTTATTGGGTTTTTCACTTTTATACATGTAATTTCAATTTCACCAATTTTATCAATCTAGTTTCGTAATTGACAAATCACAATTTCAGTCAATTTCTTTAATGCCATAACTATGTGCCCTTCACATGAGGGGTATTTTTGTCATTTCATGCCCTTTAACTCCAAGTCAGTTTTGGTCCTAGTAGTTTATCAATTTTTTTCCTTTTGTCCTAAAATTTTTCAATTTTGTCACTTTTGTTATTGTAGTTTCATAATTGTAGTCATTTAAGGACACATAATTATTTTCGTCAATTTGTTTCACGGCATGTCCTTGAATTGGTACAATTATGAAGCTATAATGACAAAATTGACAAAATTGAAACTATAAGGACGAAAGTGAAAAAACCGATAAACTACAGGAACCAAAAGTGACTTTTTCCTTTTTTACAAGGCTTATTTACACTAATGTCCCCTGAAACTACGGTCAAATCTCACATTGCCCCCCGAAACTTAAAATGGCCCACTTACCATGCTTGACCGTAGTTTGGTGACCCACTTTGCCCCCTGCCATCAACTCCATACAAAAGTCTGTTAACTATGATGACGTGGCAGAGCTGTTTTTGTAATTTCATAAACATAAATCATTATCCACCAATTAAAAGGTGACGTGGCAAGTGGAGCCCACCTCCACATAAATAAAGATATAATTAAATATTCTAATAATTAAAACTAATACAAAAATTAAAAGAAAACATTAAAAAATTTAAAACTAAAAAGAATCTCTCCCTAAACTTTCTCCCTCCCTCCCTTAACCACCCATCCACCATTTATTCTGACCACCCCCAAACCCTCCTCATCTCTTCTGTTTTTCAACCCACAGACTCATCACCCCCTATCACAATTGACCTCTTCCCTCGTCATCGCAGCCTCCATCTCAACCAACCCACCATCCCAACCTCTCCCTCCCTATCTTCTTCTCTCTACCCCTGTCTTTGTCTCTAACTCTCAAATTCATATCTCAATCCATAGCCTAAGACCCGACTCAATCCTAATTCGAAGCCCGACCCACTTGTTCTTCCCCATCACTTTAACAAAACCTTACCTTAACTCAAACCTCTCTTTTGCTATATATATCAAAAGTAAATGAATGAAAGATAGCTATGTTAAAAGTACTAGATGTTTACTTCAGTTTTAAGTGGTCCTATTTTGTAGGTCTAGATAAGCAGGTTGTTGGTGCCTTGCTTAATAATCCCGTTTGTTATGGGATCCTTTTGTTATTTGACTTAGTCTTTTACCACGTTTAGGATTGGTTACAACGTGGGTTGCTTTCAGTTTATCTTGTTCTGTAAGGCCATATATTAGCCGAGGGTTCTATTCAATAAACATGTTTTACCTCCCATTATCAAATAATTTCTTAATACAGTAACAAGTGATATCAGAGCCCACCCAGGGCCTGATCATAATGATTGAAGCAGTAGCTTGAATTCTTGTAGTAGCAAGTAGACATGACGACATAAAGCAACTTTGTTCAACCAGAAATTCCTAAGTTTGATGGTCATTACGACCACTGGAGCATGCTGATGGAAAACTTTCTGAAATCAAAGGAATATTGGCATTTAGTGGAGCATGGAGTTTCAGCGCTTGCAGAGGGAGCATCACCTGAGCAGACTAAAGAGGTGGAGGATCAGAGACTCAAGGATCTAAAGACCAAGAATTATCTATTTCAAGCTATTTTCCGGTCTATTCTTGAAACTATTCTGAAGAAGGATACTGCCAAGAACATATGGGACTCATTGAAGCAGAAGTATCAAGGAACAACAAAGGTGAAGATAGCACAACTTCAAGCCCTTCGGAAGGAGTTCGAGATGTTGCATATGAAGGGAGGAGAATTTGTAAATGAGTATTTTGCTAGAACTCTCACAGTGGTCAATAAGATGCGTATGCATGGAGGAACGATGGATGATGTGGCTGTTATAGAAAAGATTCTTCGTTCACTAACTGCCAAGTATGACTATGTTGTTTGTTTCATAGAGGAATCAAATGACATAGATAGTCTCTCGATTGATGCACTTCAAAGTAGCTTGTTGGTTCATGAACAACGTATGAATTTTCATGTGATAGAGGAACAAGCCCTACAGATTGTTCATGAGGGAACCTCAGGAGGAAGAGGAAGGGGACGTGGCAGTCGAGGACATGGAAGAGGTAGGGGCAGATCTAGTGATTTTGACAAATCAACAGTTGAATGCTATTATTGCCATGAATTGGGACATTTTCAAGATGAAGCCCTCTGAAGGAGTTTAAGTCGAATTTCGCAGAAGCTGAAGAAGAAATGTTGTTGATGGCTTACATGGAGTTCAAGGAATCTAAGCACCATGACACTTGGTACTTGGATTCAGGGTGCAGTAACCACATGTGTAGAAACAGAGCCTTGTTTTCTTAAATTGATTCGAGTTCCAGAGAACAAGTCAAACTGGAAAATGACACAAGTCTTGCCGTGAAAGGGAAGGGCAATATTAGAATTCGAATGAATGACAGTATGCAAACCATCACTGGAATTTTCTATGTGCCTGGGCTGAAGAGCAATCTTATAAGCATTGGTCAATTACAAGAGAAGGGGCTCACTGTACTCATTCAAAAAAACAAGTGTAAGATCTTTCATCCAACAAAAGGTCTCATTGTTCAAGCACAAATGTCATCAAACAGAATGTTCTCTTCACACACAAAGTCAAACTCAAGACCAAACTTGTCTTGCTTCCACCACACAAGACACTGCATGGTTGTGGCACAACAGGTACAGACACTTGAGTTTTAGAGGACTTAAAACGTTGCAGCAAAAGAAAATGGTGAGAGGACTTCCTCAGCTCGAGTCTCCAACAAGGATGTGTGAGGATTGCTTGATAGGGAAACAACACAGGGATGAGTTTCCGAAGAAAAGCACATGGAAAGCAACACAAGCATTGGAGCTGGTTCATTCAGATATTTATGGACCCATTAATCCTACTTCAAATAGTAACAAAATGTATTTGCTTACTTTTATTGATGATTTTAGTAGGAAAGCATGGGTTTATTTTTTGAAGGAGAAATCAAAAGCCTTTGATATGTTTGTAAGATTTAAGAACATTGTTGAGAAGGAAATTGGATTAAACATAAAGTGTCTACGTACTGATCGTGGTGGTGAATTTACTAACTTTTGTGAGATGAATGGTATTCGTAGACAACTTACTGTTGCCTACACCCCACAACAAAACGGGGTTGCTGAGAGGAAAAATCGTAACATTATGAATATGGTTCAATGCATGCTTGTTGAGAAGAAAGTTCCAAAAACCTTTTGGCCGGAGGCAGTAAATTGTAGTGTACATGTTCTGAATCGTAGTCCAACATTCATAGTGAAGAAGTCAACACCAGAAGAGGCATGGAGTGGTCACAAACCATCTGTTGAGCATTTTCGTGTTTTTGGATGCTTAGCATATGTCCAAGTACCTGATCACAAGAGAAGTAAGCTCGAAGACAAGAGCATGAAGTGTGTGCTGGTCGGAGTAAGTGAGGAGTCTAAAGCATATAGGCTTTATGATCCAATCACTCAAAAGATTTTAATTAGCCGTGATGTGAGATGTGATGAAGGGCAAGGCTAGGAATGGAGTGAAAGCAGCAACCAAAAGACCATTCATGTTGATTTAGAGAGCAATGAAGGAAAGGCAAGCATAGAAATGGGTTCTAGCAATGATACAGAAGATGGAGGAATTGATGGAGAAGAGTTAAGTGATACAGAAGAAAAAGTTATAGCCTCTCCACCAAGAACTGGTGACGCTGGAACAAAAAGACAGCCAGCTTGGATGCAAGATTATGTTAGTGGTGAAAAGTTTTCGGAAGAAGAAAACACAGCACATTTTGCTATATATGTAGACAGTGATCCAGTAGGATTTGACGATGCGATAAAAGAAGAAAAAAATGGAGAAAACCCATGGATTTAGAAATAGAAGCTATTGAGAAAAACAACACTTGGGAACTCACCGATTTGCCTGCAAGGGAAAAATCCATTGGAGTAGAATGGATGTTCAAAACTAAGCTCAAGGAAAATGAGAAAATTGACAAGTACTGACAAGACCAGCCCCGAATTCCTTGAAATTCCGTGACAAACCCTGTGGTTTTCGGACATCAAACCGATGCCGGACCCACTTACTAACAACATCCTCTTCTCCGAAAACAAAGGAAAAGAGGCTCGAGACTTTCTACCGAAATTTCGGCCAAGTCTCCCCTGAAAAACTGACTTTACCAAATTTTTCAACCTGTTAAAAACAAGAGAAAAAGAATACCAACTGCCAACGAACACAAAGCAACAGCACACAGATTTCAAAATAGGCCTCTGGCCTTAACTTCAACCTTACACGGGCAATGTCAGAGCAGTCACAGAATCTCTAGTTAAATAGCCAAAGTAAAAGTTTCAAGAAATGTACAAGTGTCCTACAATTAAGCTGAGGCACAAGAGGAGGAAGGCTTAGCCTGACTGCTCAGTTCGCGTCAACTACAGCCTGAGGGCGCAAAATAGAAAAAAAAAATCGTGAGTGGATAAAAACAAAGTTTCAACATACTAACACCACTGTTTTG